GTGGGAGTGACTGTAATGTTATATATCCTATCTCGACTGAAAGGGCAAGCATATTTGGTGACGGGGTACGATCCCGCGAACCTCGGATAATGCTTCGAGTACTTAAACCAACAGGCCATAATTGTATACAAAAGTAATAAATATTAAATTTGCTCTACTTAATGAAAATAAATAGTATGTTAGTGGCTTCAGCAGTCAGCAATGACGCGAATAGATTATAATTATCTGAGTCTGTTTTTTAAAGTTCAGGTTTCGATTAAGTCTAACATAAATATACAGCATTAGCGCGGAAAGAAATTTTAAACTTCTAACAAAATTAAATAGATAAAGCACCAAACGAGTTTGGGAAATAAACTTCTGGGAAAGTCAGAGTTGAACCATAGCAACGTTTATGCGTTATTAGTGTATTTTTGTATTTTATGTCAAAGCTACTAAGGCTGTCTTTCACCGTCGCTAATTTTAAGCTACTGAGCAGAAGAAAGGCAGCCAGTCAGCAACATCCTGCCACTCACCATCCACGCTAAGAGATTGACTATTACTGTTATAACGCTCCCGCAGCTGAAGGTGTGGGGAACGTTTGTGGTATCGCACGGGTTCGAACCTAACTCGCTAGTCCTTAAATCTATAGATCTGCATACCACGGATTCAAACCAAACTCGCCAGCTCCTAAATCCACAGATCTGCCATAAAGCGAACTCATACCTGTAATGCCAGAAACTTGTATTGCTTAAGTATTTTGATATGTCATGAAGTCCTATGTTCTGTTCAAAACTGTCTCCAGAGGTCTTAACACTAACAATCAGGCTCCAACATATATAGTGGGCACAGCACAGATATCCCATTGTGTGGCTTGGTGCTTAACAATAAATTAAAAATTGTTCATAGCTAATTGGAAATCTTTCACATGCGGAAATCTTTCATATTATGCAAAATTATGAGGACATTCCTGTTTTTAAAGTTTTTTCTTCAGAAATAATACTGCAAAAAAGTCAAAATATTGAAATAGAATTGAAATTCACATTAAATTATGATAAGTTAAAATGGTCGAACATACTAAAATGACTCCTTATAATCGTATTTTTTTTTGTACACTACAACT